ATATTTAGTCTCCAAATTTCGACATTAAACTCTAAAGTTGGCACGAAAAGGAATTTTTGACAGTGAGCCAAAAATTGCGATTTCTAACTCAAAAGTTTCATCCTAGGATTGGAGAGAGAAAAATTTTGAAGTTGCTCCTCTGGTTCTCAACTCCAAATTAATACTTGGAAGACTTGAATACGGGCCTCTCTGACTGGAGACTCTTAATGTGGACTTTAAAGCGGAAATGTTTCAAGCTGAAAAGCTTAAATTTCTGCTTTCATCTTCTGTACTTTGTCTGATAGTAGACATTTGAAGCAAAAAGTTTAAACCGGAAATTTTAGATTCAAAACTGTAAAATTAAGAACTCAAAGTGAAATGTACTCTTTTGATAGCGAAAAATTTGTCTTACAATTTAAGTTTTTCGTTTTGGAAATCGCTGAAATTACGGCTTCAAGGCCAAGGTATCGAATTGATGCGACCTGTTATGAACTGTGAAAATTTTGCCATTATTGAGTTTCAGTTTTGAGTTTCACACTCGATCTAAAAATTGTATGCAAGAATTGAAATTGAAAATTGCTCCTCTGGTTTTAAAATATATATCACAAGTCGCGATAAACCTGAATTGGAAAGTTTTGACTGCATTTCCTGAAAACTGTTCTATGGAGAGAAGGAGGACTCGTACATTGACTTGCAAACTTCTTTTCCACTTTAGGTTGAAATTTGAAATTTTTTGAGCTTCTGTGCTTTATACAGTCCATCTTAAGCATCCGATTCTCAAAAGCGCCCATCTATCGCGACCATCAGGTGAAATGCGCTAACTTTTCTTGCTCCTGTCGAACCTTCCCAAGAAGCCTCCCTAGAAAACAACTTTTTCATCAGCAAGTTTCCTCCCAATTCTCCTCCATTGGTTGAAACCAACCAAATGGTTAATTGCCAGCCAGCCACATATCGAGAGATTTTGCGATAAAAAACCTCTTCGGGCTCGGTTGGCAACATCGAACAATAACATCTAAGAGACTGCGGCAACGTGTTTCGTTTCGTTTTTGTTTTGGTCCTCGATCGCGAGTTACGTTCCCACGATCTGCGACGGATTTGCTCACGGCCCCCTGCGACCAGAAGAGCACGAGCCTAACGAATCGACCAGAATAGGCATAATCCTGCTGGTATGTTCCGTTCTGTTCGATGCGACCAACAGCAGAAAACTCCCCCGGGCGCAGCTCTGGAAGGGTGAGCTGTTGGATGGGAAACTGCCATTGTTTGCCATCCAACAGCTCGCTGTCTCCAAGCCCAGTTGCCCGAAGAGCTTTCTGATTTTTCCGGCTACTTTTACAGAATCGGGGAAAGCAGTTTGTGGAAGTAAAACAGTCCTCTAATTAGCTAAAATGGCAAGCCTGCAGCTAAAAGACCAACAATCGAAAGTGGCAGCGAAACGTTTCAAGGAATGCACTTTACATCTTGATATGTTCTCCACTCGACGATCTAACAATGAATCGTAATAGGTTTCTAACATGATTGCTTTTATTCTTGACCGACAATCACCTTCATTTCACTATTATAATGATCATATCAGAAATGTTCGTTAAGCTAACGTAAGTATACGGCCGAAGGTGAAATGGGCGGAATACACACTTATATTATTGCCCATGCAACTTTCCTCATGTGGCGTCCACAATGTCTCTTAAATGGCAACTATAATAAATAACTTGCGCTTTTAGGGCAAGGTGGTGATAAAGCCCATAGCCTTTAAACCATCAGCCCCAAACCTATCAACATCCAGTAGAAACAACGACCGCTATGGATCAACTCCGATCCTGGCCAGACCTAGTTCCAGATTGAATTTCTATGGAAGTAAGTTTCTTAGGTCTTTGGTGTCTCACCTGCCATTTACAGCCGTTACATTTAGGCACCAGTGAGCTACATAGAGACCCCAATCTGCAGAATCATTCTCTGGATAGGAGGCTGCGCTCTACATGCACCTCTACCAACTCCTCCCCACCTTTAGCCATGAGTTCCTTACCGTCGATCCCTCACACTCACAAATTATTAAACTGTGATAGTTTGGAGAGTGTGCGGAAGAGCCCTGGCAGCAACATCGACTATTCCCTACTGTAAGTCTCCAAGTTGGGAAATGCAATCCAGTTAGGAAACGTGTGGGTTTTTAGGCACAAAAATGCCTACACTATATCCGCCTCGAACATCGGCAGTCTCCTGGACTTGACACCATCCCCAAGTGATTCGGGGGTTTCTGAATTGGAGGCCGCGCTCAGAGATCGGGATTCTGAGCTGGCGTTTCTGAGGCAAACGATGGAACATAACGAGCAGGTGATCTTCAGGGTCTATCAGGAAAAGGAGAAAGTAAGTTGAGTCAAAGAAGTGTTATATACTGGGTTCTGCTCGTTTAGAGGACAATTGCTAAGGAGGGAAGGAGGAGAATTTATAAGCCCATAATGTTTTGATTATTCAAAAATCCTACCAGTAAATGTCTTGACTAGAAGTTACCCATTAATGGCACAAAACTTGAAGATATTTAGCATTGCAACGATTTTTTACTTTTGAACTCAATATTGTCACTTTTGTTCCTTCTGCCCACAAACAAGAGCATCTGGCCTCGAGTTGGTCAAGAGTCCAAAAGTTCTCTTTTGCTGATTAATTTGCAATTTTTCAGCAGACTTTCGAAAGAAAAAATGACAAATTTTAATTCTTGATTGAATTTCAAATTGATTTTCTGACTTAAATCAACATTTCCAGAAGATTTTTTGCACTTTCCTAGACAATGCTCCAATAGTAACTTGAGCATCGTCTCAAAGTCCTAATCATTGTTTGGGCAATTTTCAACCCCAAAATACCGTTTTCTTGCACATTTCATGCTGGTTCAAATGCCGTGCTTCGGCAAAAATGCATCCTGTTTATTGAAGTCCCCCTGAACTCAACTCACATAAGAGAGCAGAAAACACACCGCTGAAAATTTCGTGATTATTCACTGTGACTCACTGTATATCTAGCATGTATTTTCCAGATTTGGGAACGAGAACTGCACAAACTGAAGTCAATGTACGATAGCAGAATCCGTGCAAGTGCAGAAAAGGCTTTAAAACTCGAGCAGCTGCTGATGATGCAATCCTACCAGCAGAACCAGGATAAAAGGCGTTTGATTGGTGAGCGAAACTCGATTGCTCTGAATGCACGCGCCAATTGGTTGAATGTTTGAATGTTTCAGGCGATGTGCAAAAAGTGAATTTCCAAAACGACAAGCTGCGAAATGAGGTGGAGGACCTGCGAAGCAGGCTGGAGGAAACCGAGTGGTGCCTTTGCCAGAAAACTGGCGAAATCGCCCTGCTGAAGACACAGCTGAAGGATTGCCAGGTAAACAAGACGCATTTTCCTTGCGGGTTGAAGCATGATTTTGTTCCAGACGGAGCATAGCACCAAATGTCAAGAGCTGCTTCAGTTGCGCATCGACTTGCGGGAGTTGCAGCAGCACTTTGATGAGCTGGAAGAGGAGCTGAACAAGCAGAAATCCCAAAATCTGGAGCGAGACGGTGAAATAGCCGATATGCAAATCGAAGTGGAGAGTCTACGATGTCAGCTCCGAAAGTATGAGAGCATGGAAAGCATTGATAAGACCAGGTGAGTTTCACTGAAATTTCCCCAGCTTCCACTAAAGCTGCAGTTGTAGATTTGAAGACATATCGGAAACTGATCGGCTGAAAGCCGAGATTAAGGAGCTAAGAGAGGAGCTGTCGGATCTATCCATTAGTGATTACAGCAACATCCAGCCCGGACGCTTCAAAACAGATTCCCACAATCAAGACCACTGCTCCTCTTACGAAGACCTGGAAATCCAGCAGCTTAATGGCGAATACATTGAATGCTGTAATGAGCCGAGCGAAGTGGGCAGGCTGAGGCGGGAGCTCATTATCAAAACTCAGGACTTCAACAGGGAGAAACTGATATGGGCGCAGGAGAAGGAAAAGGTGTTAAGGTACCAGCGCCAGCTCCAGATGAACTACGTCCAGATTTACAGGCGCAGCAAAGCTCTGGAAGCGGAACTGGACAATTTAACCACGCAAATTGCCATAGAAAACAGCATTGCTAAGGACGACCAAATTGTCCATGCAGAAATTGCCAAATCCATTGAGTTGTAAAAGGGCTCAGTCCAGATGAGAAAAGCGATTGTTGTTTGGATTAATTTAGTGGAATATGATGAAATTGTACCCTTCACTTACCAGGCCAATGTAAATATATAATGTATGTTTAAATGTTGTGTTAATCACCAAAAAAAGCGGAGAAGAGAATAAAGTCTGGGATGGTTGTTTGTGAGCCAAAAAGAAATTGGCTTGAGACTGTATTATTTGCAAAAAGAAAATGATTGCTCAACCAGCTTTTTTGGAATGGAAGCTCGAAAATAAAGTTTAAAGTTGTAGCGACACCCTTAAACCAATTGGAGAAAAATTCTGTTTTTTGCAAATCTCATTCTTTCTCAAATTAGTTAAATACTTTACGAGATGCAGAGCCGATTTAAAAAAATTCTATCTAAATTTGGTCTTCAACTTCTTCTAGAATAGCCAAGGTGTTGTTCGAGTAGACCCAAAAAAAGCAACAGCAAAATCTCAACTTATTTGCATTATAAAATTGGAAAATAGTGTTTTTGAACCCATCAAAACATCAACAGATAAATGCAATTAATTCTGAGAAATTTGCATTGCCCAGGCTCTAATCGTTTGTGAGAAATTCGCAAAACGGTTTGTCATCGACTCATGAACGTTTAACAATGATATCAACTTTATCGGCAAAACTTCGATAAAATTTAAGTACTTAAGGTGATTTTTTCAACAGAAAAGAACTGAAAAATCGAGTGTCATCAAGATCACTTTCCTTCGTGGATGTTGGTTTTTTATTAGTGTGTGAAAATCTTCAAACGTTGCTCCGAAACTGGCAGTTTGAAGCTAATGATTGAAGGTAAGCAAGTAGCAAGTTTTTATTGTGATTTGTTAACCTACATATTAGTACATTGTTTTATTTGATCAATAATTTCTTCTTTCAGTTTGTAAAATTATTCAAGCAAATCTAGTAAAATCGGGTCTGCAAGTGATTTTCCACAAAGTCTAAAACTACTAATTTGATGTTGCCTTCAATTGTATATACTTTCCTGACTGTGTTTCAATTCCAAATCAAAATTAATTCCTGGGTTTCAACCTGGGTCATTTATTGTCTTTATTTATCAATTAAAATACGTTTCGGTGTATTTTTCCACCATCATCAGTTTTTCTGAAATAACATAGTTAAAAAAAATTTCATTAATTCAAAAAACAATCACAGTTCGTCAACAGCCTCATCATATCACA